AGTAACAGCAGCACGTTTGGAGTAATGGCACAAACACCTCAGACCAGCTGTGAACACAGTGGTGGAGGATGATTTGGGCACCTTGCAGTCACTGAGCGGAGCATGAACCAAAGTTTTCTAGAGTCAAATGTGAGGCCATCTGTATGAAACCTAAAGCCTGGATGAAACTGGGTCATCTACAGGGCAGTAAATGCAAGCACAGCAGCAAATCTACAAAAGAATAACTGAAAAAAGAAAGAATCAGTGCTGCAGTGGTCCAGTCAAAGTCCAGACCTCAAACACGCCTGAAATGCTGTGATGGGACCTTCATTGAGCTGTGTATGAACAAATGCCCACAAACCTCAATGAAATGAAGCAACACACTTACATTAACCCTTGTGTGGTGTTCGTATTTTTGTTACTCAGCCAGTGTTCATGGGTCTGGTGGACCCGCTAGAGTTTTGGCTTTCCAAATTAACACTATCAAACAATTTTATGTTAAATTACTCAACAGATGTTTACTTCATCCCAATTACAAGACATATGAACAGCAAACATGGTTAATTTTTTCCCTTTACCTTTGTTAGATCACATTTATGAATTAATGTGCTTCTCGTTTTTCTTTTATATAAAATGTTATAAATAAATCAGTTATAATCAAGTGGAGTGAGTGGAAAGACACAACACATTTACACGTGAAAAAATAATTAATTGTTTAATTTTTCTTTTGAAAAAAACTGAACACGGGTCTCACAGACCCGAACACCATACAAGGGTTAAGTAGTGGAGCACAATGATGACATCAACTCGTCCCCATGCAGTTCAGTTCAATATTATTCAAATAGCGCCAATTGATGACAACAGTTGCCTCAAGTCGTTTTATGTTGTAAAGACCCTACAGTAATACACTAATGCACGGTTGAATTGTGGCTCGTGTCTAAGATAATGCAACCACAGTCTTAAGTTCATATGCATTAGTCAGTTGTAACTGATCACAATTGTATGTTAAACTGATTTCATGAATTAGATCATAAAGTCCTCTGTTTCTCCATCTTCATCAGCCACATCTCTGCTTTACCTGGATGTGTTGTGTTCCTCTTCTTTCTCTGCCATTTCTCTCACCTATTCACAGCTATGGTTTTGGTTAAACCTGGATCATGCAGTCTGAGTTGGTCTCTCTCGCTGACAGTTAATAAATAATGGACTTTAATGCCTCTGTGGAACAGATTTGGCTGGTACTCCACATGTTGTTTATGTTAGGGTTAGGTTAACATCTTGGCTTCACTTCCAAAAGAGTTAATCAAAGAAAAGTCTTACACAGGAAATTATGACAAATGTATATTTGTTTTATATGCTTGCATGTTAATGATGGTATATTTTTCACACAGTTGCTCATAGGAAGGATAGTTTCTGAAAATTGTGACACAGTAAATCACAGCAGAGTGAGTGGGGGAGAGTGGCTACCCTCATCAAGACCCCCCCCCCCCCCCCTCCCCCAAACACACACACACAGTCTGCACACAGCTGGATTCTTTCTCATGGAGGCAAAGTGAAACTGCAGCCAGACAGCTCCTGCACTGTGCCAGCTCGCAGCCCACAGTGGAGGATTACACAACTTACCAAAAAGTTTTCATCCACAGGAGAGTGTGCCTTATAACAAAAGCACAGAGGCTTCATTCTCTTATGTCTCCTGGTTCCAATTTCAGAGAAACTGAAAGGGGGCCTTTCCTCCAAGTATTGTTTTTATGATTTTGAATTGCCCAACATCTTGCCTCAGTCCTGTTCTCCTCTGAGCATGCATACATACGTAAATCTTCAGAACCTTAAGGTCATATCCGTACCTACCATAATGATGGCACCATTAAAAGTAATCATACACTACTCTTTTCGATATATTAGCAACATGGCTCAAGCATCGATGGTACAAACAGCTATCAGATGCTAATGGCTTTTTTTTTGATATATTCGGCTCAAGCATCGATGGTACAAACAGCTATCAGATGCTAATGGCTTTTTGTACATTTTTTTTGTAGTTGTTTTGTGTTTCTTTGCTATAGTGCTGTGATATTTTGCACTCTGTACTTTTTATGCATTTCTTTGCTGTTGTATTCTTCCTCCTTTGAGTTTCTTTTTATCTATCTTCGTGTCTTATTTTATTTTTTCTGCCTCTTTTGTGTCTCTTTGGAGTCTTTCTGTCTGCTAATAATTGCGTGACTTTTTGATTTTGTGTCTCTTTGTAATCACTTTATATTTTTTTGTGCAGATTGAAGCCAGTGGTCCTTTTTGTCTTTCATTTTAAAGTTAATGCTAACCACTAACACTAACCGTGTTAGTGCAATTCTATGGATAAATGCACGTGAAATTTGTGCTGATTTTATAAGATGGTAAAAAAAAACATGGGCTAGTAATTATATAGCACTATTCTACTCTGAGTACTCAAAGCCTCATTCACCCAATGACTCACACATTCATACAATAACTTTTTTCTATACCTTGTCTGACATTCTCACACATTTAGACTCTGATGAATACTTCAGGGACAACTCAGGGTTCAGTATCTTGCCCAAGGACACTTTGACTTGTGAGGAGGAGGCGAGCCACTCTACTCCCACTCTTCCTTAAAATTGAGCTTTAAAACATGTGTTTACTGTTATTAATTTAACCCAACCTATGATCTGTTTCTGACCCAAGTCATGTTCTCCTTCTGTCTGCTCCTTCTAGCATAGAATCTACCTCCATCTCCCCCTATTCCAGCATAATGGCCTCCAGACACAAAAAGTGAAGAAAATTGTGTTTGGTCGATTATTTCTTTGTTTCAACAATATATAAATCTTATACAACTGGAAAGCTTGTATTTGTAAGGAAATTCCATTTGTGGTTTGAGCTGTAATCGTCTTACATCAGTTTAATGTTGTAAGGTAAAGATCCCACATAGTGCTCTCAGTACTCTTGCTGATAGATGAAAAAAACCTAAGTTTTATCAGTTTATACATGTAATGTAAACGGAATTGGTCCTAGTATGGAAACCTGCGGAACTCCACAAGGTTAACTTGCATGAACAAATTGGAGTCTATTAGATATGATCTAAACCACTGCAGCGCAGTACCTGTAATACCTACAGCATGTTCTAATACAATGTTATCATCATTTGTAACCGTCACTAAAGCTGTTTCTGTGCTGTGATGAGCTCTGAAACCTGACTGAAACTCTTCAAATAAGCCATTCCTCTGCAGGTGATCTGTTAGCTGTTTAACAACTGCTCTTTCAAGGATTTTTAAGATGACAGGAAGGTTGGAGATTGGCCTATAATTACCTCAGACAGCTGGGTCAAGAGATGGCTTTTTAAGCAGTGGTTTAACTACTGCTACCTTGAAAAACTACAGTACATAGATTAATAGAGATTGGTTCGTCATATTTAAGTTTGAACATTAATTAATGGTAGGACTTCTTTGAGCAGTTATGAACAGCACGCAAAGGTGATCCTACAAGTGTTCTATGGGTTTAAGGTGAGGACTGCAGGCAGGCCATTCTATCCACTCCTGAATTCTGGGGTTCGTCTCTGATAAACCACGCTGTTTGAAGGCAAACATGTTCATGTTGGAGGATGGAGTTTGGTCTTAGACTGTGGAAAGTTAGTTAGCTGGTGAGCTATAAATATTCCATATTCATCGTTTCCATACGACGTAATGGATAAGCCAACATAAATCTCAAAGAAAATTCAGTTCAGTATTTTTCAGTTCAATAAAGATTTAGTATTTAGTATTTATTTATTTATTGTCATTGTCAAGAACAATGAAATTGCGTTTGGGGCTTCCATACAACCCAGGAGTGTGAGATACTGCCACCCGTGGTCATTTGGGGAGCACTGCAGTTGTTGAAATCTTCCCACCTGTATGAGGTATGAATATACCTGTTAACGTTAACAAGGCTAGGGCCATTATTGTTGTTTTCTACAAATTCAAGATGACATTTAAAAGCACTGCAGAGTTAATTGTTTTTAACAGTATCTTCTACCGATGTGCGTGACACACTAAGCCTGCCACCACAGCTGTGAACATCACACCTGTCAGGAGGCTTCATGGTGGCTACACCTGATCTGGAAGTGACACTTTGTTCTCATTTCTTTAGCCGTAGTTGTCCAGGCTTTCTGAAGCTCCTTCAAAGTTTCAGTTTGGACGTTGGCTGCTTTTTCACTCTGCTTTAGTGTAGTTCGTGTTCCTGGCATTTTGACAGGAAT